CAATTCAGACATTCTGGAGGATTTCCCACTCAACACTAAATCTTAACGGTTAACTCACAAAGCTGTGGAAATTAACAAATTTGGTCAGGCCTCTGCTGGATGAAGTCCCAAGAACCAGAGGTCTGGTGGAGGCAGTTTGATTAGTCAATTGAAGGAGCGCACAGCCCACTCACAATCACCAAGATGGCTCATTTTATACCCTGAAGAGAGACAAAAGTGACCAAGCCCCTTGTTAGAGTTCCCAAGTTTTTGCAGTCACAATTAACACTGCTGTGAGCGTCTCTCACAACTGAACCCTATAATTCCATAAGCATCTTCTCCCACCTTCTCTTACCCAGACCTGGAAGAATAAAAAGTTGTTTGGTGAAAGTTACAAAGGCATGGCTAGAAAAGACATATTCAGTAATTCACTGCTCTGCAGTCATTTATTCAGTTGCATCTGCTATGCCTTTCTCTAATTTTTAAAAAATTATTATTAGGTTATTATGCGTCAACTGAATTTAATCATATCTTCATTCTTCATGCATAGAAACCTGTTGATGAGAAAAGATGGTCTAGCTCTGACTGGACGTTAGATCCTCAAGAACTCGCAAGTAAATTTAATTCCAAAACCAAAGCTATTATACTAAATACTCCACATAATCCCATTGGCAAGGTAAGTCTTTTATCTCTATATACAGTCTTCTGATTGTTTTTTCATATGTTGAATAATAACTGGTTCTCTTATTTTTTCACTTTAATAATGTGTAGGTATATACTAAAGAGGAACTCCAACTAATTGCTGACCTTTGCATCAAACATGATACACTCTGTATCAGTGATGAGGTTTATGAATGGCTTGTCTATTCTGGAAGTAAACATTTAAAAATAGGTATGATAATTACATAGTCACAAATCTAAATGTGTTTGTGCATGTCTGAACCTGATTGGAAAGAAACTCAGATCAGCTTTAAAGTAATCTGTGAAATGGGTCACTTATGTGAACTTAAAAATGAATGAGTGATGCTTGAGTGAATTAATGAGCAGTTGAAGCATAAAGAATAAAAATTTAGGGGAGGAATTTTTGGATCACTGAAATCAGAGAAGTAGTACGTTTACCTATATCCTTGAGTTCCCTGTAAGAATCCTATTACTTGGTACACAAGAGACAGGGACTTTCCCAGTTCCTGAACTTTGTTCAAAATCCTCCATTGACTTCCCATTCATTCAGAATAAAAGCCTAAGTTCTTATAATGGCCTAAAAGCTCCCACATGGTCTGGCCCCCACTTCATCTCTTCATTTCCTCATCTTCTCCCTTTGCTTACTCTGCTCTAGCACACAAGCCTTCTTGTGTGTCTACAACTATACCAGGCATCTTCCTACCTAAAGAACTTTTCACTTGCTATACCCTTTATCTGGGGTCTTGGTGTGGTGCTGTGGGTTAATGCACTGGACTGCAAGATCAGCTTGTACTACAAGGTCAGCAGGTCAAGCTCACCAGCCGCTCCTTGGAAACCCTAGACAGGGTCACAATGAGTCAGAAACAACTCAAAAGCACTTAACAACAACAACAACATACCCTTTATCTGCCCTGTTGAATGACTGCTTAATCGACAAGGTGGTGGTAGTATCTGTGTACCATCAAGTTGGTTCCAACTCACGTCGACCCTGTATAAGGTTTCCAAGGCTATAAATCTTTATGGGAGCAGAAAGCCTCATCTTTCTCCCACAGAGCAGCTGGTAGATTTGAACTGCTGAGCTTGAGGTTAGTAATCCAACTCATAACCCACTGTGCTACTAGGGCTCCTTAGTCAATACGTTTGTTGTTGTTGTTAAGTGCCATCGAGTCAGTTCTGACTCATAGCAACCCTACATAGGGTTTCCAAGGAGTGGCTGGTGAGTTTGAACCACTGACCTTGTGGTTCACGCCAACTTTGCGCTTCAGTGCTTTATCCCACAGTGCCACTCAAGGACTCCAATCAATAACTTACCCTTACCTTATTCTCAGATTTTCTGTTCATTTATTTAAAAAATAGTTTCTGAGTGCTACCAGATACAAGATCTTCTTCTGCTAAATGGGGACACAGAAACAATGAAGACAAAGACAAACCCTGCAGCTTAGAAGTAAAACGTATAATACATCAGATTCTTATGTTTGTTATAGAGGGGGGAAAAAAATAGAAAAAGGATAATACCATGGGGAATTGTGTAGGTGAAGAACCATGGTCTGAGGACAAAGTACTGGGGTACTCAGATGTTGAGTGCTTGGTGGTGGTGGTGGGTGGTGGTGATGTGCCATGAAGTCAGTTCCAACTTATAGCAACCTCCTTTACAGGAGCAGAAAATCTCATCTTTCTCCCACAGAACGGCTGATAGTTTCAAACCGCTGACCTTGAGGTTAGTAGCCCAACTCATAACCACTATGCTACAAGAGCTTGAAGATAAGAATGAGTCATGTAGGGAGACAGTTTATTGTGCTGTATTGAACTTGCCTGTTTACTTATCTGTGCCACTGTGTAGACTATAAGCTTTCAGAGGGCATCGGTCATGCTTAAGTATTTGCACCTCTGTATCTTAATGTCCATGGAGCTCTG